ATTTTTTCCAGTAATGATAATTTTTGCTGTGGTACATGATCAGCGGTTATTCTTGTAACCAGTACATTTTCCACTGAATCAATATCAGCTTCTTTCCCACTTTGATAGGGAATGGGACCACATATCATGTGGCCTCCTGTTTTCAGCAAGTGAACATCATGTTTACTTACTATATTTTGCACAAAACAGTGATAATAATCACTTCCAATGATTAAATCAATTGGACTAATTGTGTCCGTCTGTATGTCAGGACAGGCTAACTTGACCTTAGCTGCTTTCAGTGCTGCAACTGTTTCTTTTAATCCCTAGATCTGCACAGACTTAGGCAAATCATCTACTACCACAGCTTCTACTGTCTTTTTCCTGTTTCCTAGACCAACAGTGATTCTGGCTACGTCATATGTCTGTTTACCAGAATTGTGGAAAAAACCAGCTATATCTAACTGTATTTTGGCATAGGGTTGTTTCTGCAACACTCTTCCTCTTATGAAGGACCTTTGTGAGCCTTGATCAAATAATGTTAGCACATTGGTTTTATGTAATTTATTAGATAACTCAACTCGAGCTATCGGGAGAGCAGTTGCTTTAAACTTATCTCTCACATTTAATGCTGTTGCTTGTTGACTTCCTGATTCTGTGGAAGTCTTCTGTTGTTCAGCAAAAGTATTTGGGCATAATGCTGTATGATGCATACCCTTGCATATAAAACACTTCTTCAGTGAGCATTTACCTCCCTTGCGTTCTCCTAAACACTTGGTGCACCTTTCAGCTGATGAGCACAGCGTTTACGTGCCTCCATTGTTGTGTATTGACTACAATACTGTGCCCAATGTGTTCCGTCACAAAGTACAAATTTTGGAGTGCGTTTATGTGTGACAGTCTGTTTACTGTTTGTTCTATTCACAGCTTGATAAATGCCTATATGGGATTTCCCATTCTGTGGTTTAGTGGGAGTTATACTCTTTTTATACTGAGTTGAAGGTTTGTTATCCACAGGATTTGTGGATGTTTCATCTTGTCTCATTGCTTGCATGTAAGAAATTATTGCTGGAAAACTATTGCTAATTTCTTCACAAGTGAAATAGCGTTCATTGAACATAATATTTAATCGTTCAATAGTTTGAGGTGGCAATGCCACTGATTGCGAAAAAGATTTAGGAGTTCTGGTTAGCAGTAATCTGAAACCAAGACAACAGTGCATAAGTGTTCGCAATAAAGCTAATAGAATCCTTGGCTTCATATCAAGAAGCATAAATAATAGGAGTCCTCAGGTTGTTCTTCAACTCTATACATCCTTGGTTAGGCCTCATTTAGATTATGCTGCACAGTTTGGGTCACCTTATTACAGAATGGATATAAATTCTCTGGAAAATGTACAAAGGAGGATGACAAAGTTGATCCCATGTATCAGAAACCCTTTCCCATGGGGAAAATAACAAGGGGCCCTAAAAACTGCACTCTCAGAAAGACGGAATTGGGGGGATATATTAGGTGAAAAAAAGGGAAACAGGAAAAAATAAAGGGGATGTAAATATTGGGCGAAAATACTCCAAACCGGACTCGCAGAAATGGTTTTAAGTTGGAAAAAATTCAGATTCGGGAAAGGGAAAAGGGAAAGTACTTTTTTTGGGTAATAGAGTTTGGATGAGTGGAACAAACCCCAAGTCCCGTTAAGAGGCCAGAACTTTTGGGGGTGCTTTAAAATAGGTTGGGTAATACATGAAAAATGTGGGGGGGTGTGAGTTAGACCTGAAGCTTGTGCTACCAGGTGGGTTTGCCGTGTTCCTCCTTAAAGTGTGCCTGACCCCCTGACTGGGTTTGGGGCATTGGCTTAAGCCGGTAGGAGACTTGGACCGCCTCGCATGGGCCATGGGCCTTCGGGATTTTTCCTTCGTTCTTATGTTCTTAGTTCTTATAAACCAATCCATTGCGTAGGGTCTATTTGCCCAAGACTGAGGCTAGTGTCTAATGTGTCTAAATTCTGTAAGTCGAAAAATTTTTGGGGGCTTCTATTTTTGAATTAAGACTGAAACGTGTAACCCGGTTTTGTCAGCATCAATTAATTGTCTCAAATACTTAGGCAGGTGATTTACTAATCAGTTCGTAGGGTTCTCCCTTCACAAACATTTAAGATAATTGAACTTAGCAGTTCGGAATTTACTATGGATTGAAAACCACAATAAATTTGTCGAATTAAGACCTTGTAAAATAGGCATTTACAAGTAAGCAAGCTTGGGAATGGGTACCTTGTAACATTTTTTGTGAAATGTAACAGGTTTTTTCTGACCACTAGTTTTCAACAGGTCTCGTGATAGAGTTTTTTTAGCAGGTAGCCTTTTCTCCGTCCACCTTAATTTTTTGATCACAAAAAATAAAACCAAAAAATTTTAATGCACCTCAAGGATTTGATCTGGGAATTCACTTTCATATTTTGCATAATCTGAATTGATTTCCAGACGCTGTGTAAGTAATTCCAGTTTTGTCTCAAGATCATCAGAATCTAGGTTAGTATCTTGAGTTAACCCTGTACAGACTGAAATTATTTTGTGTAATTTTATTCTGTAAAGAGGTAAACTGAGTATTCAAACAAGCCATTTTACTTGAAAACTGATGATTCTAGCACCACACTTACAGTGTTTACACACTACACTGCTATAACAGCTGAGTTTTTGTTATTCTTAAGTCAACAATAATCGAGTCAGACATTACTGACCTTGAAGGGTACATATGGCTGGATGATGGCAGGTGTCCTGTGTGATGCGGTCTCAACTTGGAACGCTGCTGAGTCATCATAAGTAATGCATTTCATTCACTAAACATCTATATAAATGTTACTGTATAACTGTATATCTCATGTATATTTCTTACACACATATAAATGTCACTTTTAATAGATGAAAGCTTACACTTAATGTAACTTTCTTTATTATATAACAGTTAAATCTATAAGAGACAAACATAAACACAGACTCGTCTCTTAATTTCCATCTATAAATATTATAAACACTACATGTATATACACTCGGACAAACTGAATGCCATCTGGGTTGATGCTGTTCTCAGCGATTCCTGAGCATGATCGCCAGTGGGTGACAGGTGCCATTCCCCGTTTTCTGTTGGGTGATTGGGTGAGCCAGATAGCCCTTGTTTTCTTTGGGTGACAGGTGATAGCTGGGTGAGAGCCTCCCCTTTTCTATAGCTAGTGACATCTGCCCATTCTCTGTGATTGAGTCTGAAGAGACTCATTTATTCTGATTTATATTGAAAAACACTAGTTTTACAGTTTTTTTGAAGGACCTTGGCTCATAATTTATTTGTACACTAGTACAAGGTTTGGACTACCATGTGGCCACATATCCGGTTCGAACGACCAACTCTGTTCTATAGTTTATCTAACCAAAACTATGTAGAGTTAACTTGTAGAGTTAACAAAGGTACACTTAGCTTTGTTGCGGTCTCTGCCTACCGCAGCCTCTCCCAGTAAGCACCTTCGATGGAAGACAGAGCTCTACTATCATGCTGGGCTGTGATAAAGATTATTGGTAAGTATAAGTACCCCTAAGGAGTGTTGTGTCAGTATTTTCATAACTGAATACTGACGGGAATCTATACTCAAGTGTGTTGAGCTAAAAAAAAGTCCGCCCATAATTGGGTTTATGGTAAGTTGCTAGATGGTATCTTGGTTCTCATCTGCTCAGTTAACTGAACTACAATACATCATAGTAGACTTACTTGGGTATATTTATCAGACCCTTATTAATAACCCGAGTGTTGGTGTCTTGATTGAAGCAGACATATTCTTTAAAGAATGTCACACTACACACTGTCAGGATTGCAACACTCGTTGTTATACACTGTTCATCAAGTATTGTGTATCATTCACAGTCATATTACTAAAGAAGCTGATCACACTTCTCTGTATCTCTTTGAGATACTTTTAGTTACAAAAACACGTGGATTAGTGTTCTTTGTTCATTATCCCGGCGTTAATGTTTCCTCTGGCAGGGTTAAAAGTAATCTGAGCTATAACATCCCTTGCCACACTTCACTTGCCCTAAGCTACAGAGGAAAAGCTGACATAGCATATTTCCCCTACTTGCCAAACTTCCACCAGGAAACAGAGCAGAATGATTGATTTCTTGCTATATTTCAAACACTGATAGTTCATTATGTCCCACATGTGAATAAAGTGAGGTAGTAGTTTCCCTGTACCTTTCCTGTTATGGTACAAAGATTAATCACTCTTGTTATAACTCACATTGGTTGCAACACTGTTGTATGTGTAGCTTGTCGACTCTTTCCAATTATTTTACTAAGTTCGTCTGAGAGGAGTGTGTTGGTTGAGTCCGCAAACAGTTTTCTTAGAATTTTTGCCTAATTTAAGTTATTCTTTCCCATACAGCAAGAGTGGATTGAAATCATTTTAAACATTTAGGAGGTCCTGAGGCGCGGAGAGTTTTCCTTATTTGTCTAACTAATAATTTAAATTCTCTCAAATTAAGGTCATCATGTTTAAACACTCCTGCTGAACTCTGTCTCAGTTACTGCTGTCAAAACACTGTAGCACGCCGGCATTTCAGACTTCTCTTAGTTCGAAGACTTCATACTCATTGTTGGAATAGCCAAATATAATTTGATAGCTAGTTATCTTGCAGAATCCTCAGCCATCGCAGGCTAGCATAAAAAAAAATTAGATTTAACCCTCTCATAAATAGACACATGCATATGTTTTTCATTCGTCTCCATACAGCCTATTTTCTTCAAATAATATGTTCTAGAGAAGCAGACCACTTTTACTGTGAATATCTTTTCGGTCTTCATATTTACTAAGAGCAAATGTGGATTCGATAAAATAATTAAACGACGCTTTTATTACACGATTAATCAAAATTTTTATCACCATAATACTTCAGTATTCCTCTCTCTATAAATCCGTTCGTTTCCCACCCAGGCTTGTCACCACCGTCTCTCACCTTCTGGAGTTAGAAACAGAGTCTCACCTTCTCGGGTTCATCAGCGAGGTCGAAGTCGAGGTGGACGAGGCCGGCAGTGTTGTCAACTGTCTTCCACTGAGCGATACGTGTGCGCGAAGGAGTTTCGATCCATACCAACGGATACTGTTAGAAAGGTGACCAGATTAGTTATATAAACTGAATGATGGATCATTATGTATTAAAGTGTAACTTCATATATAGCGTGGTCCATGCAGTGTCGTTATTCATTCAATATCACTCATTCGTGGTTACAATGTAAATGTATATATATGTGTGGTTGTAAATATATATATATATATATATATATATATATATATATATATATATATATATAAATATATATATATAATATATATATATATATATACATAAATATATGCATATTCATATACATATATATGCAAAACAACCACTGTGAAAGAATAGAGAAATTCCAAGCGCTTTCGTGACTACTCACATTATCAAGGAACAATGAAAGTAAAGCATCAAAGGAAGGTATATAAAGGGGTAGCCCACACCTTACTATCAGATCCCACAACAACGAAACGCGAGACAGCAAGCTCGCCGGCCGAACTAGACAGGTCCTTCACACAACCCACCAACAAACTATTCTACCCAAGAAATAAGAAATTTAAAAATTTATTATTTGTCCAATGTATTATTAAATTCTTCCCAAATTCTTATAATTATAAATGGATCTAATTTATATAAACCAAAGGAAATATTCATATTATTGTCAAAACGGCTTTTTATGAAACAAGATTCAATTATATTCCTGTCGACCATGGACTTGCTTGATAGTACTTTCTCAACTTTTTGAAAATCAATTAGATGGTTAAAATCTCTTACATAAATAAACAGAAATCTTGTCCAGTTCTAATGCTATATTTATGTTGTTTTAATCTTAGTTCGAGATTTTTACCAGTTTGACCGTAATAAACTTTATCGCAAATTTTACAAGGAATCTTATAGACACATCCATCAGCATTTTGGGGGGAATTCTTTATCAAAAGTTTTTTTTACTGTATCAAGATTTTTGAATACAACTTTAATATTAAAAGTCTTAAGAAGAGAGGGCATATCAACCAAGTTTTCATGGTAAGGGAGAACCAACATATTTTTAGTTGAATAAGGCTGGTTGTCCTTTTTGGATTGTAAAAAGTATTTGTAGCAACTTTAAAAGATTTATCAATTACATTTCTCGGGTATTTCAAATCATTACCTATTTCATAAATTTTGGATATTTCCTCATCTATGAACTCTGAACTACAAATTCGTAAAGCTCTCACAGCGATTGTTT